TAATTTTTTGTAGTTTTAGTAGAGACGGGGTTTCACCATGTTGACCAGGATGGTCTCGATCTCTTGACCTCGTGATCCACCCGCCTCGGCCTCCCAAAGTGCTGGGATTACAGGCTTAAGCCACCGCGCCCGGCACATCTGTGCATTTCTTACGAGATAAAGTCAGTGTGGTCACAGGGCTGAATAGTACCAACTCCGAGTCTGGCAGTAAAATCAGATTTCAGTATAGTTGATTATCAAAGCCCCTTTTTGCTGTTTTTCAAAAAGAAAGTAGCAATACTTTAGCACTCACCCAGGCAATTACGATTTTTGTCTGATTTACTTTTGGTTTTGCAATTTTAGTATACCTAGACCAACACATTTTGCATCTGTTGAAATCTTAGGTTTTATTTTAAGTTCATATAATGACTTTTAAAATATTCTAATAAATGTCTTCAAGACCCCAGATCAATATGCCAATGGTTCAGAAGTGACAGAGTGCTGTGATATTCCTCTGTAATTTAAACATGATTAGCTGATGAAGGCTATGATCAATACACTACCGGAAGATAAATTAATTGATATCATCCTTTCAGGATGATAAGAGGCCTATCGGAGGTGGGATGTAACTAATGAAGCTGCTTCTTCATCTCTGTGAGCCATTTTTTTATAGATTGCAGTTTCACTTAATCATATTTATACTATCATTCATTTACATGAAACCGATAGGCTGTGGACAAACCAGTTTCTTATTAAAATTTTATTCATTTGGAAAAGAAATTATCTGCAAACACTATATGGGCCTCGTCTATATTACCACCTATTGCTGGGGAGAGATGATGTGTTCCTTTCCATGGACATCTTTGAAAATAGCAACTATCTAGGCAAAGACAAGGATTGAATATCATTGAACTTAATTGCTGCTAGTCCCCAAAGACACACATCTATTCAAATAAAAACTGTATTTACTCTTCGGTAGTGACACCTATGGGTGTAGGAAGAGTTTTCTAATCGTTGACTTCCTTTCCAATTAAATTCAGTATGCTTTATCAGTGAGCCTATTTGCCAAGAGAAGTTATGGCTGGTTGAATTTAGATTTGTATTGATTAAGATAAACTTCCAATGTGTTCAGTCATATATTTAAATAAAAAAGGTCTTTAATATAATTACATGTCCTTGAGTATAATTCTATATGATAGCTGTTCTCACTCATAGATGGGTGTTGAACAATGAGAACACATGGACACAGGGAGGGGAGCATCACACACTGAGGTCTGTTGGGGGGAGCCAGGGGAGGAACAGCAGGGGGTGGGAGTTGGGGAGGGATAATATGGGGAGAAATGCCAGATATAGGTGATGGGGAGGAAGGCAGCAAACCACATTGCCATGTATGTACCTATGCAATAATCTTGCATGTTCTTCACATGTACCCCAAACCTTAAATGCAGTAAAAAAATAAAGTATATGTGTGTGTGTGTGTATGTGTATGCATATATATAAATGTTTATATGTATGTATATGTGTGTGTGTATGTATATATATATATATATTAATTCTTCAGGCTTTGGGGAAAATAAAGATTTTTGTCTTTCCAAGGGGTTTGGTTAAATTGCCCTGCCTTATTTAGGATTATTTTTGTTCCAAGTAACTGGAAAAAAGATCATTTTATTAGAATAACTTAGATAGGTGTGTATTTTTTTTGCTTCCCATTCCTCTGAGGTGGTCTGTGCAGGGCTGCTGAGGCCCTTGTGGAGTCAGGGGACCGGAGTCAGAGTCCGGCTCCATCTCTCTCCCATGTGGCTTCCGTTCCCAGTGTCACCTTGTGTTCCACGATGCTGCAGAGGCTACGTAACATTTGTGCATTTCAGGCATTAAGTAGGAAAAACATATAAGTATGTGGGCAAAGGGAAGCTCTCTGGGAAGATCCCTGAAAGCTGCCTCATGGTCCTTCTGCCGTCATCCCGCCGGCCGGAGCTTGTGTACCTGGCCATGTCCAGCTGATGGAGGGCAGGGACTGGGAGGAGACTCTGGAAAATGTCCTATTTATTGCGGTTGTCTTGTGCTCAGTGAAAAACCAGGAATGCTATTACCCTGAAAGAAGGGAATGACAAACTGATGGTCTCTGCTCTGTTCCTGAATTTGGAAACTGATTCACATGGATTTCTTTTTGTCTGTGTGCCCACCAGTTGCCCAGAAGATTGTTGCCACGAGGAAGAAGCAGCAGCTGTCCATAGGCCCCTGCAAGTCGCTCCCCAATTCTCCCAGCCATTCCTCCGTCTGTTCGGCCCAGGTGTCCGCCGTGCACATCAGCCAGGTACGTTGAGCGACGTGAGAAGTCGGACTGAAAGACACCTTAGTAGCAAAGAGAACGTGCAAACAGCGTTCCCAGCCAATGCTAAGGTTGATTTTTTTTCTTTTCAACTTTATAAGTAACAGCATGCTGTAATTGACTTAACATTTTCTTCAGAAACTGCTGTGGCCAAGTGATTTTTATGGGAATCATTCTTTAATGTTTTCTGTCTTCATGCTGCCTGTGTTATGAGGCATGCTGGCCCGGGGGTGGCGGGAGGTGTGTGCTGCGGTCCTCGCTGGTGATTTAAACCACCCTGCTCTGGTCGTGGTCCTTGTCTGCTTATAGGTTGAGCAGCTCTGAGTGAATCTTAATGGCCGATCTTGCTTTATCCTTAAATTTGGTAGCGGCATTCAGTTGTAATCACCATGTCCCTTAGGTCCCATAGACACCGCTATCTTTCCATAACAACATTTTGCAAAATTATTTACTTGGAAGCAAACAAAATAATTGTCACTTTGAAGAACACAACCAAAAACCTCTTAAGGAAACAGTTGGCTTTGTTTTTGCCTGTGCTTGCTTTCTAATTATGCTTCTTGGGCAGGCATTCCATTGGCACTTTTTTTTTTTTTAAGGATATGGTGAAAAGGTTTGGTGTTACGCTTTCAGTTTGCGTCGGAAGCCAGTAAATTACGGCACGTATTGTCAGAGCCTAGAAAGGCACAGTCATGAGTGTTAATGTTGGCTGGGCTGAGAGGCACATGCCCATAATTCCAGCACTGTGGGAGCTCAAGGCGAGCAGATTGCTTGAGCTCAGTAGTTCAAGACCAGCCTGGGCAACATGGCAGAACTACATTTCTATATCTATAAAAAATAGGAAAATTAGCTGGGTGTGGTGGCCTGTGCCTGTGGTCTCAGCTACTTGGGAGGTTGAGGTGGGAGGATCACCTGTGCTCAGGAGATCTAGGCTGCAGTGAGTGTGATTAGGCCATTGCACGCCAGCCTGGGTGACAGAGTGAGACCCTGTCTCAAAAAAAAAACATGTCTTCACTTGCTATGTCTAATTTTCTGTGAGTCTTGAAATATCTTTCAAGAACACTCAGATTTTCCGGGTGTCGTTTTCAGAATGTTAGTTGTGGTTACTGATCTAGAGCAGTGGAGGAACCACAGAATCCATTTAAGCAACCCCTTTCATTTTCAGAGGAAAGAGAAAACCATCAAATTTGAACTCTCAGAAATCTCTTAAGTTAAATGAAAGAGACTTCCTTTTCTTCTGCTGCTTTTCTTAGAAGACTCTACTGAGAAAGATGATTGGCATATTCCAGGATGAGACTCTGTAGCCTTGGTGCTGATAGACCTGGCAAAGCAATGAATGCAAGTCAGCCTATCTCACGCGTCCCTTCCGTGGGATTCATGCTCACTGGTTGGTTATGACCTTGCTTCAGTGGAGACCTTGGGTTCCTGAGTGGTGTTAGTAAAACCTTGGGTTTTAATCATTTCAGACAAGTAATGGCGGTGGGAGTTTAAGTGACTATTCCTCCTCCGTTCCATCGACTCCCAGCACCAGCCAGAAGGAACTTCGGATCGACGTTCCTCCCACTGCCAACACGCCCACGCCCGTCCGCAAGCAGTCCAAGCGCCGGTCCAACCTGTTCACCGTGAGTGTCAACCCTGGGTGGAGATTTGAGTGCGATTCTGAAGAGTGTCCATTAACGTAAACCTGGTTGCCACAGGGTTCAATGTTATTTGTAGAATCTCAACTATATCAATGTGACTAGCATTGATTTCTGTGAAACACTGAGAAAATTGTGATAAGAAAAGATTTGGATGTCGAGTAGAATGGGAGTTTCTTAGTGTGGACGAGTACAGATTCGTATGTCAGAAGTGAAGAGCTGTGGGTGTGTATAAAGGCACTTGTTATCCTGTGGCTCCAGCTAAAGACATGTCACACTGGATACAAAGGGATGGCAAAACTCTGCCAAGATTCCCAGAGGTGTGCCTCTAACCATTCAGATGATACCTAAGCTGTTATGGTCCACAGGCCCTCTTCTGTGCTGCTGCTGGGGTGCCTCGGGATGGAGGCGGGGGTTGGAGAGATGCCTTCTGGAGGCTCATTGCCATGAGGCTTTCTACTTGGTTTTTTTTCTGTAGAGCATGTTCAAACCAGAGATGAGATGTCTGGGTTCAGATCAATAAATCCATCGTCTGTGGGTGCACTCAGGCATATGTACTTCCTTTTTTTTCTCTTTTGAGACAGGTACTTACTCTGCTGCCTAGACTGGAGTGCAGTGGTTCAGTCCTCAAATCCTCCCACTTCAGCCTTCTGAGTCACTGGGACCACAGGCATGCACCACTATGTGTGGCTAATTTTTTTTTTTTTTTTTTTTTTAAGAGCCAGAGTCTTATCGTGTTGCCCCGGGTAATCTTGAACTCCTGGGCTCAAGCCATCCTTCCACCTTGGCCTCCTGGAGTGCTGGGATTACAGGCATGAGCCATAGTGCACAGCCAGCCTGTTTAGTACTTAAAAACTCCCTGGGTGATTAAAATGCAAAGAATCCCTGAACTACAGAGGAGACAAAAATGCTACCATCCTGTCTCTTCCCTGTGCATAGCAGACATTACCAATCAATCTGGAGTCTACATAGTTGAGCCCCAAACTCCAGACATAGCTGCTGTCAGTTGACTGAGCCCTTTGAATTGAGAAGAACACTCTCTCCCTGGATCACCTCTGTGCATGACAAGTATATGCTTTTTAAATAGTGGGCCTCAGCCTGGGTGGTTTTACTCTCCAAGGACATTTGGAAGTGTCTGGAGAAACTTCGGGCTGTTACAACAGGAATAGGAGAGTGGGAAGGTAAGGTACTGCAGACATCTAGTCCTGGGTAGCAAGCAAGGGTGCTGCAGAGCATTCTGCAGTGCACAGAGCGGCCCCTCGCAGCAGGGAATGCCCAGCCCCCGAGGTCAGTGGTGTCCTGTTTTAAACCATCTGACTTGAATTTTTGGTTGATCACTGCTGACCCAGAAGCAAAGCTTAATATGTCCTGTTGGATTAAAGGAAGACTCTACAGGGGTGACTGGGAGTCTGATTTGCTGCCCCTTTGTGAAGAGGAACTTGATGTGATGTTGCGGTTCTTGCCACATCTGGGAGATCCCCTGCCTCTCTGCCGCATATCTGATGCAGTCTCTCCCTGGGTACTCATGACTGTGAAAGCGGTTGCCAACAGCACACACCTCCTCCTCCCCAGCCTCCCCTTGCCTTCGCTGGGTGCCTTGCGCCAGATCAGCTCCCACAGAGGCCACTGCTGGGCAGCAGGATGAGGACTGATCAGACAGACCAGGCTCAGAGCCTGGCCTCCACTGCTGACAGATGTTTGGCCTTAGGCAAATTACCTGACCTCTCAGCTGGAAACCATAGTACTTGGGGCTGCCGGGAAGACTTCCTGGAAGAGACAGTAGAGACCTGGTGGCGTTGCTTCCGTTATTTTCTCACTACCGTTGATGCTATAAAATGATTCCTGATAGTGTCAGGCACATGCGATAGATTGGGAGGTGGGTGTTTAGGTTTCTGCAAAATACAGGTGAGTATCTCTCATGCTTAAATTAGCCCATGGATAAGATGTTTTATTGGACAGTTTCTTCAGACACACCAAGAACAGCAGCAGTCACCTAAATAGCTGCTTCCCAGCTCCGTCAGCCACCTGCAGCCCCTCTCTACATCCAGGCTGGAGGACTCTGGGTTGACGTGTTTCCTCCCAGAACAGGCTGCACAGTGACTCAGTGGCCGGAGAAACCAATCGCCAGAGATGCAGCTGGACTGAGAGGGTGGGCTATGGGCAGGTGGCCTGTGCCCTGCAGGAGGGGCGGGCTCGGCATCCTGGTGGTCGAGAACGCCTTCTGTGTCTCTGTTAAGGGAGTGGAGTGGGGCGAGCGCTCATTCCCAGACGCCTTCTGAGGGCTACATTCAGTGCTTGTTGACTTTGCTTTGTCTTCGAAGGAGAGAAAGTTAAAAACCACAAAGTATCTTTAAAAATGGGAATATTTATAAGGAGAATATCAGCACTTTCCCATCCCCTCCCTTTATAAGCTCTGGACCTGGAGTGTGCCAGAAAGTAGTGTCCCACTGGGTAACTGACAACCCAGGTGACTTAGGGAAGGGAACACGTTAAGCCGAGAGAATCAAAATAGCAGCTCAGTTAAATACTGACTTAACATCTCCTCTCTGCACAGCCCTGGTTTTGCTGACTGTCTGGGAGGAAGACTCATTGCCAGAGTCAACCCATGTTCAAGGGAAGGCAGTTTAGGGTGAAGGAGAAGGGGCTCTGCACACTAGGTGGAGAGGACAGAACTGAGATCTAAAGGGGCCTTGTTCCTGTGGATTCACGCTGCAGACACACAGGTGCACTGACAGGCATCCATGAAGAGGCCAGGCAGGGCAGATGCAATGCAGAAACCAATAAAAACTCACTGTGACAGTGACCAAAAATCACCATTATTTCACCATTAGCGTGTCGTGTAGTAATAATGGCCTGCCTATGGGTCTGGGTGTTACCAGTGTGTGTTCTCTTTCTCCTTAACCTTGAAAACCAAATTTGAGATCAGATCAAAAATTGAATCCAGCTGCCCCACTGGCATTAGTGGGAATAGAAATTTGGAGTCAGAAAAGAAGCTACCACTGCAATAGGTTTGCATTGTGGCATTTACGGAAAGGATGGTGAAAATTCCAGGCAGAGACTCATATATTGGTCCTCACTGGGTTTGACATTGAACAAAATGATGGTGGTGATGATGGTGATGGTGGTGGTGGTGATGGTGGTGGTGGTGATGGTGATGATGGTGGTGGTGGTGGTGATGGTAGTGATGGTGGTGGTGGTGGTGATGGTAGTGATGGTGGTGGTGGTGGTGATGGTAGTGATGGTGGTGGTGGTGGTGATGGTGGTGGTGATGGTGGTGGTGGTGATGGTG